ATAGTAAATACTTGACTATAGGATAGTTTGCGGGCCCAGAGAACCCTGGTCTGCTACTCCCTACCTCTCTCTAGGGGGGTCTCCGTTTAGACGTCTGGGAACCATGGAGTTTCCCGCTTAGACGGGGCGCCTTCATAGTGGAGGGGAGTGGCACAGTGAGTCGTATGTCTAGGTGTGTTCCCCCTTGTGTGTGTCTCGACCACGGGGGTATAAAGGTTGTCTCATCTCTGGGGTGTGTGTCGGGAAGGGGTACAAGGACATTGTGGTAGGTAGGGTCGAATAGTTCGGGATACTTAATAGGTAATTCACCGCCCGAGGGGAGTAGTTGACTCACGTACCGTGGCTGTATGGGCCACCTATGGAGACCGCATGGGTGGGCGGGAAATCACCACAGGTAGAAATACTACATGGGGTAGTCCAAGTAGTTAGAGTCTGCTTGATGACCAGCAGGTGCGAGTCAATGCTTGATCCACCTTTCTTGGTCTGATAACCTCTTGATGACCAGCAGGTGCGAGTCCAAGTACCCTTTCTTGCTCCATCTCTCTTGGTCTGATAACCTGCTGGTTGTCATTCTCTCTGCAGCATCCATTACTGTCTGATCAAACTTATCATATTTGTCTCATTCTAATCTGAAGAAGCTCTGAAAGAGAATACTCTCTGTCACTCTCTTGGTTTGTCTATGTCTTGACTATGCTTTCAATGGGGAAAGTAGCATACCGACCATACCACAGAGTGATACGGCCATTTTATTTATCTCAATTTTTTTATCATCAGATCGCAATTGCGGATAACGGGAATCAAACCCATATCCCCTGCTTGGAAGGCAGACAATTTACCTTTAATCTATATCCACTATTTACATATTGAATTGATTGACTCAGGCTCTTCTGGGTGAACATGAAGTCTCCCAATCTTCACTCAAAGCCGGGCCTCAGGGGGACTGCTACAACCTGTGTGTGTGTGTGTGTGTGTGTGTGTGTGTGTGTGTGTGTGTGTGTGTGTGTGTGTGTTTGTTATGTTTCTATTGTGTGGCTTCTGCGACCGCATTGCAGCATGTTGCACTGGAAGGTGTGCTTATAAACAACACCGGGAAAGAGCCCACAACCTAAGATTCCCATAGAAAAGAATGCTTATAATGCCCAGCTTTCAAAAGCCATGTTACGAAAAAGAAAAACAACAAAAACCAAACCAACCAGCGGTACGACAAGTACAACAAGGCAAACAGAATGGCAAGACTAAGGTCAAGACGCAACAAGGTACTTGCACGACAAGCCGCAACAAAGAACAAAGGGTGGAGGGCATGGGGAGGCGGGCGGGCAGACACACACCACCAGGGAGAAGAATGAGGCGGCAACAGCAAGTCAAGAAGTAGCACTAAGGTGGTGAAGCAACAGCATGGAACATAGGCTGGAGGGCATGGGGGAGGCGGGTGGGCAGACAAACAACACTAAGCAAGAAAAGAACGAACAGGAAGTCAAGAAGCAGCAAGGCAACAAGATAACAGGCAGACAAAAGAACAATAAGCAAAACAAACAAGCGAAAAAAAAATAAAAATAAAAATAAATGATGATAGATTGTTTCGTCGGTTGCACCGACTCATCAGGAGGCTGAACCCTCGACAATCTGCGGAATCTCCGTATTTGATGATTCGGGTCATGAACCATTTGAAGCTTGTAGAAGGCAGACTGTCCCCAAGCGGAACATAGCAGAGGGCAGCAACCCTGTGGAGCACCAGGCAACACAGTAGAGGCAACACAGCTGCACAATGCCAAAAACGACTGCAAGGAACAACATGGCACACAGGATATGCAGTGCGGCAACCGTGTAGTGAAGCACAAGGCAACACAAGCAAGGCCACCACACTGCAAGGGACGGCTGGGCCAGTGGACCACCAGCTCAGCAACTGTGCATCGAAGCACAAGGCACCAGCAACAAGGCAACCAACCTACAAGCCACATAAGCAGCAAACACGGAAGGCACGGCCAGCGGATGAGCGGCAAGGCAGCGGAGCAGCGAACCGCAAGGTAACACCAACAACACGGCCAGACCACGCAGCGAACACAGCAATTTGCAGAGAACCACATGTGGAGCCAGCGGGACAGGCGGCAGGGAAGAGGCAGAGCGCAGACGAGGCAGTCCGCACATCCAACACGGAGCAAGCGACACATGACCTACTCACATCACGATTGAACCCCGTGGACTGTTGGTTGCCTCCACCCACTAAGCCATGAAGTCACTCCGACGAGCATTCGTCATCACCCACAGGCAGCACAGACATCCCGAACCGAGCGGCCCCTCTAAGAGTGCAGTACGCACTCCAAACGAGGAACCACCGACTGTTTGGCAGTACTTAAGGGTGCTCAGTTCGGCACAAAAAGATAGAAAAAATCAGAGGTGATAGAAAAAATCAGAGGGAGGACAGACAACAGGAGACTGACAGACAAACTGATTGTGTGTGTGTGTGTGTGTGTGTGTGTGTGTGTGTGAGGATTATGTTTAACTTATTGATTTTCAGATGCTTAAATGGAGTACTCCTGTACCTAGGATAAGACTGTTTGGTTGAGAAAACTGGAGGTATTGGCATGACGTGAAACATCAGGTGGAAAACATGATTGCCAAAAGTTGAAAAGTCTCATGGCATTCAATCAATTACTGCACAATTAGAGCAGTAATTCTCTGACATGGCATAGTAGAGTCCGACCGTTAGACATGTGAGGAAGGTGATGATAGTCGTTATAATTGTAGTAACACACATGGGAATCGGTATATCATGTAGGGGTAATGGGCATGTAGTATGTACTATGTAATCATAGGCTTGCGCATTACATAGCTAGCCAAATGTGGTACTGGATTGCTTATTGTTGTTTCACCCTCTATTCTTCCTCCTCCTTTGGTCCTTCAATGTCAACTTGTCGTTCTTTCAGTGTCTGAAGTTCTTTCTTCATGTTTTTGTTGGATGTGTTTCATGAACTGTATTATTCCTTCCCTTACTCCTCTCCCCTCCTCTCTCCCTTCTCCTGAGTCGTATTATACACTTATTTTGGTCTTCATGTGGTCTTACTTCTGCGGCTGCACTCTGCTGTGTTTTTATAACTTGTTGTTTTTTTTCTTGGTGCTCCAGGAAGGGTGCAAGTGTTTTGGAGTTCCTACAGCCACCCTATCGAAACACAGACCCCGCCAACCTCAACTTCAACTACAGGAGCCTCGCGATTATGCTGGGTGTCCATTACTACGCGCACCTGCCCACTCGGATGAACAGACCTTCCAGCTATGTTGACGAGAACGGACACATGATTGATCCCCCGACATCAATGGTCATTAACGTGCCAAAAGTTGTGCAAAACGTACGGGAGATAATCGATGAACATTACAAGGCTATGTGAGCACTGAGCATCCTACAAGCAGTGCCCCCCAAAAAAAGGAAGACGATGAAGGGAACTCTCTCCTGAGAAATGGAACGAAGAACGAAACTCGTTCCTGCGGGGCTTGGAGAGCGATGGGACGAAGAATGCAACTCATTGCTGGGCAGGATTGGGAAGAAGAAAGGGACTCACTATTACTGGGACGAAGAATGGCGGCTGTCTCGAGGAGCCAAGGGAGGGGAGGAAGAAGCAGAGTTCAAAGTCTCCTGGCTTGCTCCTTTTTTTTCTGTTGGAGTTACTCATCCCAGTGGGGTGGTCTCCGGAGGAAGGACAAGAAAGTCGGTATCCCTTTTGACCTTAGCAGCGAGTGATGCAGGGAGTTTGAGGGCATACTCGCAACATGACGTCCCTGAATGTGGTGACCTCAGGTACAGGGAGGTTCGTTCAGGAAATCCCAGTCTGAGCGAGCATGCCCTGATTGGATGGATGTTGTGCCAGCGAATGTGATGAATGATTTGGAAGATGGTACCGATGGGGAAGGAGGAAGGGGGTGTTCCTCTCCTTCGTCAAAAGACAAGGAACCTCGGAGATGGTTGTTTGCACTTCCTCTCTTTATATAGTCAGAGCCTGGCATCAGTTCTTTTTTTTTTTAATTCCTGGCATCAGTTTATATTGCTAGAATGGTGGTCGGTCTGGCTTATCGGGATCGGCTTTGACAAACTACAGGGGAGAAACAAACCCAAGGAGTCGTCATTTCTGAGAGGTTTTGTGAATCCCTGTGGGGCTTATGGGGCTGGCATTCATTGTCATTTGTCAAAGGCTCTCTCGTTGTGTGAAACGCGCTTTTGTTGTGGCACCATTGGTACAACATCAAGTCAAGGTAGTTGGTGTCGGTGTGGAATCCTCCATTGGGGTAAATGCTCTCTTGGTTTCTGAAGCAGGCAGCCGGGGGTAGCATAGGCCATCTTTTGACCGGGGCCCATTCGCTCGTGTTGGCCTCTGTACAAGGTAGAACTTGGCGTATGCCGCTCGTGCACAGATTATAGCCCAGTGGAGTGTGTAATGGTTTCTCAGCACAGCAGAAGAATAGGACAGGGTAGGATAGATAGGATGACGAAGTACTGACCAACAATTGAGGACGCCCATAATATATCCTCGGCAAGCTTGTGGGGAGGTGGGGTTGGTCTCAGCGGGACATCGTCAGTCACCTGAGTGTGGGATTAGAAAAACCCTCAGCTTTCTTATGGCAGTCCGTACATGGGTGACCTGACTATGTATGACTAACCTGAGAACGCGGCAATGGTTAGAACTCGGAAGTTTGAACCAGCCAGTGGCCGAAGTACCATGATAATGGTGGAGAGGCGAAAAGAGCGAAGTTCGCATGGCGGCCAGCAACTTGGGGAACACCGGGTACCGAGTCATCATCATGGGAGAATCTGTTGGGAGTTTCCTCAGTCGGGACCGCGCAGTCGTCAGTTGGGAAAACAGTTTTCAAAGTGAGGAATTATTTTCATGACCAACAGCGTTGTTGACAATGAGGAGGCGCAACAATGGTTTGAAGTTCGAACCGGAGACCACTGTGTTTTGCAACTGCGAACATGTTTGGGGGTTCGAACCCAGTTTTTTTTAGTGCACATCTGTGAGCAAGTTGGTGGGGTTGCGTGAGGGATGGGACAAGTTTGCAGGCAAAGCGGAAGCAGCACACAGCTTTCACAGTGAAGAATTCTTCTAAGGAGCGGGAGGGCTGTTTGCAACTGAGAACATGTAAAGACGAACATTATTTTTGTAACTGAGAACAGCTGGGGGGTCCGACATGTTTCAGATGTGCATATGCGCAAACCTGCGTTCGAGCCCGGGTTTGAGTGCATATCGGAGAACATGTTTCTGGCGTTGCATGAGGGGGGGTCAGACAAGTTTGCAGGCAACAGGCGGATAATGGAAGGAGGACAGAGGAGATGGATGAACAAGGATCGTGAAAAGATGAAAGGAGGAGGCAGCGGCGAAAGGCGAAGTCGAGTTCTTTATTCACGGGGATATAGAAAAGGCCAGTGCGGAGATCCAACCCATGTGGCTGACTGGTACACGCATGTGGCTGTTGATGATGGACAGATCACAAGTTCGGATCCTGGTGGAAACAGACTGGCGCAATAATGTTAGGGGCTGCCCCGCTTTGAAATTGAAGTCATTGTGAAGAAGGGCCAATGGGATCGGGTCATTCAACCAGATTCTGCTGCTTAAGAAGATAGGCATCGACTGATACTCGCTTACATCTTCGAGTGCAAGGTATTTTCTGGATGATCTGTTAGACTGATACTTGAAAAAAAGAGGAGATCGCAGTGCAGTCATTCAGACAGGTATCCCTGTGGTGCTGGAAGAGAAACCACCGCTCAGGTAATTCTGTCGCTCAAGCTATTGCCAAGAGCATATTGCAGCAATCTGGACGTGATTGAATCACTGGCACAGAGAACCACAGGGTTCGCCACGGGGACTGATGGTACTGGCACTGAGCATGTGCTCACCGCTACCGTGTTCACCCAAATAGAACGCCCGGTCATTATAGCCGTATCTGGACTGAAACTTGCCCCAAACACCGCTAGAATGACTGGGCATTCTATTCGGGTGAAGACGATAGGCGGCATGAACAGCGCCCATCCAACGGGATATTCCGGATCAGGAAGAGAGTTGGCAGGGCACCATGGAATACTCCCGGTAGCATTGGGCGCTGGGCCTGAAATCAGATGCCTGAGCACCAGACTCATACCTCCAGGGGGAACGGCAGSSGGGGSGGKGGGGGGRGGGGGGGGGGGGGKGCGGATATATGAGAAATCCAACGCTTCCGTCAGCGCATCCTGTCCATTCGAACTGGATTGTCCCGTGCTCCCCATAGTATAGTGCGCATGGCACTACAATAAGGCTGTGCATTTGGAAGAAAGGGAGGTGAAAGGTGGGGTGGGGTGGGGGCCGAAAGAGTGAGGGTCAGGGAGGAGGAGAGGGTAAGGAAGAGACGAAAGAATAGGGGAAGCCAGGAGCACTCGGGAACTTCCTGGCAGAAGTAGCGGCAGCAGCGGCGGTGGTGGAAGCAGCAGAGACATCAGACACCATGATCAAGACAAGTCGTGGACACCGCGTCAGTGAATCCATACTTGGGAGAATGACTGCGCAATCAAGCAGCATGGTTGCTTTGGTGGGTCTCTTGTCCGATGGTGGAAGCAGAATGACTTGAATGTAATAAGGCATGGTTGATTTGGTGGGTCTCTTGTCCGGCGGTGGTGGAAGCAGAATGACTGGCAATCAAGACAAGTCTGAACTCGTTGAATGTAATAAAAATTGGCATGGCCGCAACGGTCGGCTTGTCAATTTGCAAATGGAATTGACCGATGGGACTCCATGGCGAAACATCGGAATGGATAACTGGTGGTGTAGCAGCATCAAAGGCGGTGATATTACACTCTTATGGCATGCTCACGTTAGCGACATTCCAGAGCGCAACTCTTCATATGATCGTACTAAGTCTTGTCGCAAGATTCTGTCGACAAAGTGTTAGTACGAGTACACCCTTGGCGAACGTGGGTTCATCGGTGAAAAGCGCAGCATTGATTGAGGCGTTTTCTCAGTTCCTTGCATGGGAATGCTGCTTGGCAAGGAAGCGGCCATGTCTGCGAGCGTGGGTTCATCGGTGAAATGCTCAGCATCGATTGATGTGTTTGCTCAGTTGGAGAAGTGGAGTTCGCTTTGAAGTCGGTAAGGAATGGAGAAAAGGCTGAGCTGGAGGAAATAATAAGGGATCTTCACATGAGATTGCCGACACAAACTCAATTATTTCTTTCGATTTATATACAATAGCTAATAAAGTTTCTTCAAGTACCCCTGAATATCTGAAAGGCTTCAAGCTTGCTGGGGATGACAGGGAGTATCCCGGCCTTAGCAATGGGTCTCAGGCACAGTGGGGCAAACTGGGTGTGTACTGGGTGTGTAACTGAAAAAACAGGAGTTGACGAGGTCCTAGCACCTTGTTTGAGCTATCATTTACTGGAGCTATGGATGTGCAGTGGAAGGTGAAGGAATGGAAGCAAGGAATGGAAGCAAGGAAGGAAGGAAAGGAAGCAAGGAAGGGAGGCAAGGAAGGGAATCAAGGAAGGAAGCAAGGAAGGAAGGAAGGAAGCAAGGAAGCAAGGAAGGAAGCAAGGAAGGAAGGAAGGAAGGAAGGAAGGCAGGAAGGCTGAGAAAGAAGCAAGACGGAAGGAAGGCAGGCTGAGAAGGAAGCAAGAAGGAAGGAAGGAAGGAAGGCTGTGAAGGAAGAAAGGCTAGGAAGGAGGCAAGGAAGGAAGCAAGGAAGGAAGGAGGGAAGGAGGGAAGGAACGAGGGAGGGAATGCTGGGACGGAAGCAAGGCTAGGAAGCAAGGAGGGAAGGAAGGTCGGGAAGGAAGCGAGGCTAGGAAGCAGGGCTAGAAAGGAAGGAAGGAAGGAAGGAAGGAAGGAAGGAAGGAGGAAAGGAAGGCAGGCAAGGCTAGAAAGGAAGGAAGGAAGGAAGGAAGGAAGGAAGGAAGAAGGAAGGAAGGAAGGAAGGAAGGAGGAAAGGAAGGCAGGCTAGAGAAGCAAGGAAGGAAGGAAGGCTGAGAAGGAAGCAAGAAGGAAGGCAGGCAGGCTGTGAAAGAAGCAAGGCTGGGAAGGACGCAAGGCTTGGAAGGAAGCAAGCAAGGAAGGAAGGAAGGAGGGAAGGGAGGCTGGGAAGGGAGGATGGGAAGGAAGCCCGGAAGGAAGTGTGGCTAGGAAGCAAGGAAGGAAGGAAGTTTTAAATTTTGTTAGAAGGATAGTAGAAAGTTGGGGAGGAGTTCAGGGCTGCCAATGGTCTTTGAGCATGCACTTGGACTTTTCTAGATGTGTCCAATTGACCGCCATGGTGAAAGTGTGGATGGTTTTCGCAGAATGGAATAGTGGGCCCTGCAATCGCGGTCAGGTACAATAAGAGCTTGCTGTAATTGCAGTCAGATACATCTTTGAAAGTCCTAGTGAAGAGTGTGCACTGTGCTCTAACAGTGTGTTCCGAAATGGAGACAGCAACGACTTGGTGGTAAACCCTTTATGCTGTTATCCTTTGCT